ATCATATGCTAGAGAGAAATATATACTAGACCATAAGAAGCGGTTCCAACCCTTGGGGATAAGGTAATACGTCTAAGAAATTATTCCATTTGACATTCTCCCCGGGATGCGGGAACAGCGACATGAACTAGATTGCAGTAAAGCTACAGATTTGAGGGACTAATGAGCAAATGCCGAGATTTGGGGGACTAATTTGCAATTATGGATGATTTAAGGGACTAATATGCAATTACCCAACAAATAAATACATATGGATGAATATCAGACACCAAAAGACGAGTTTACTTGTGCTTTGTGCACATGGATAGGCACATAACAATCACACACTCATTCCGTCTTTCTTTTGAACTTCAGCAGTCTATGTATGCATTGACTGGACTAATATTTGAACTATCCTGAAGACATCTTTGTTGAACCAGCCACATGCTTTCTTGAATGGTTGAATCAATAAATATAAGGTATATGCATCCATGCACAAGCATATGCTTCATTCTTTCTTGACAACTGCAGTCGTAGGGAACCTAGCAATGCTGGAGTAGTCATTGATGATTTTAATGTTTTCAATATATTAGAACTTTCCAGATATTGAATGGACTATTTATGACCCCTTTAAATGAAATAGCAAAGTTTGTTTATATATGACAACTTGTGGACTAGAAAGGCAGTTTGCTTTATTTGTTAGCTTAACTCTTTTTTGTGTCGTTATATCATATAGGAATCCAACATTGACAGAGAGATTTGAACTTTTTGTCTATGGCCGAGAAATTGCGAATGCATTTTCTGAACTGACAGATCCTGTTGATCAGGTATGTTGTATTTGATGGTTTTTTGTCCATTGGTTTTTACGTGAACATGTGCTGAGAATTCTAGTTTCAAGATTTTTTTCAACTCTTCATTGCTTGCCATGTTAGCTCATTCCTTAAAAAAAAGTAAGAGTTTGAGTAGTTCCAGACTAATTTTTGCTGTTCAACTTAGTCACTTCTATCTTGATCCCACTGGTTCTTATCTACATGAGGTACCAATTCAACAAATTTTTTTTTTTTTTGACATATCAATGGAGATCATAGGCTGGAAAGTGGGGTGAAAGCTTAGGATTAAGGTTACCTTAATGTGGCCTCATGCAAGGATGGTTCATACCACGAACATGCGAAAAATCTTCATTGCAGAGAAGATAATTCGAACAACTATCATTTTTTTTATTCAATAAGTAACCATCTTCATCAAGTTTTTAAATGTCGGATGTCGGGTTTATGTCGGACATCTAAAATTCATGTCGGATAGCGAAAAATCGGGGATATATCGGGGGACATATATTAAACATCGGATTGCCATATCAGATGGATTTCTACTCTATTTTGGTCACTGAGTGAAATGCACTTGTCTTGTTATAGCTTATCCTACTTGAGTTAAGTATTCATCATCAAGACACGAGTTGTTTTCCATTTCTTGAAGGGAAACATTACAACATTATGCCAACAAATAAATAAAATACACATTATCAAACTAGAACTTTCGAAGTACCTTTCATAAAATTAACATAAAGTGCCTTGCATAAAATTGACATAAAGTGTTATACTTTGAATTGATTTCAAGCTCTGGTTCAAACTTATTGTTTACGTCACGCTTTTATGAACTCTCAATTCAATTTGTAGAAACGAAGATGAACGAGAGGAGTTGGCGGCAGAAAAGAGAGCAATAATTTTTTCTTTGTTCTAATCTGTATTATATGTTATCGGGTTACTATGAGAACAAAAGGCTAAAAAAAGAATTAATCAGGTTTGGCTTTTGAGTACTAAACCCAAACCCCAATACTTATCAACTCAAAAAAATAAAAAAAAAAATAAATAAATCTTCCGATTTTCGTTTTTTCAAGGCTGAAAATCGGCCGATATGTCCGCAATATCCCCAGACATGTCCAACATGGACTCAAAAACGATATCCGACTTGAAATGGCCATATCTATGTCGCTCTAGCCTCTGATCCAACATGTCGGCCGACATTTAAAACCATGATCTTCATGCTGATGAAGTGAAGAAGGTTAAGCCTATCTTTATAATAAAACCTTGTTTGGGGTCCACAAAAAACTAAATCAAGTAAATTATTTAAAAAATCCATTCTTTAAAATAACATTAATCTAGATAAACCTAAGATACCATTCTCATAATTAAACATTACAATAAGATTTCAAATAACTAAAAGACATAGAAAAATTCTAATTAAAAATGTCCCTGTCAAATCCTAACTGAATCTTACATGACTTCATCTCCAACATTTTTTTTGGGGTATGATCTGATGAACCCATTTAGGTTCATAAATGTCTTCACTTTGAGCTCAATTTGTGTTGCATCTTTAATGCAATTTGTGTTGCATGTTCAATTTAATTTGCATTGCATTAATTTGTGTTGACGTTAAGCTTAAAGGATAGAAACAATCCCCTGATGCAACAAGAGAGGAGTTATCCTTGATCTGAGTCCTTCCGTTTTCCTATCCACAACTGCTGGTCAATTCTGGCTGCTGAATAAATTTATCATTTTCCAAATTTTTTTTATCCTTTGGATATGTTACTTAAAAGGATTAAGTCTAAACATCAAACTTATATTTACTATGCAAGCATTGGAATTCTATATGGCACTTCAGATGCAAGAGATGTCTAATGTTGCCAATATTGCATGTCAAATGCTTTTAAAGGGAACTTCCGATAACTTGCCTGCACAAATTTGATAGTACTATGGAGGACAAGGAGTCTTGATAGACTTGTTAGCCTATCTAGGTTCCTTGAGTATGGGTTTATAAAATCCAAGACTATCCTCTGAACATTAAGTAAGCAACCCAATGAGTAAATGAGAATCAGCATGGGAATAATTTTGAATAACAACTTATCGTTCACATATTTATTCAACACAAGGATATTTATTTCTTTTAACAGAGAAACTTCTGTGCGTGCATAAATAAAGTTCCATATGATTGTTTGTAGAATATTCAAATTCTTATTCATATCGGACAGTGCAAAAATGATGGGTTGGTTTGATCTTTCACTAGTTCGAAACTATTGCACTATTTTGGATCATGTTTATTGTAAATTCTCTTGTTCAGAAAAGTGTTAATGGTTTTGTTTGCATTCTTTTTATATTTGGCTGTACTTAGCGTTCATCTTTTCTTTGTGGCAGAGGGCTCGGTTTGAAGGGCAAATAATGCAGCATAATGCAAAGAGAGCAGCATTCTCCCTAGACCCAAAATCTGCTGAACAGAATAAAGAGGGGGATGATTACTCATATGAAGTGGCATTGGATGAAGACTTTTTAACTTCTTTGGAATATGGAATGCCTCCTGCTTCAGGAATGGTATGCTTTCATCATTTTAGCCAGTTACCGTCCATTTCATTTCAATGTACTTGATGATCATATTTATTATTCTCTTCTTTTTTCCTCATTGAAAGTGAGAAATAACAAGAAAACCTGGAACCAGTAATTTATGGTACTCTTTTTATTTCTTTGCACTTGATTATCTAATTATGCTGCTTATCTTAGTAAATTGTTCATATCCTAAAGATATGTAGGACATTTCCGTCCATAAAAAGTGTCATGCCTAACATACATAGACATATCAGATGTATTCTTCCACATCCAACATTCCGACATTTAGAAATTTGTAACTGATGTCACCTGAAAGTTTAGCGATAAGATGAAGAATTTGGGGCCCCTTTTGTCAAATCTAATTATTTTATCGATCATTTCACTGAATTAGGTTTCCTTATATGTGAAGTGCAAGAATAGATAGATGAAGTATATATGTGTTGGAGTGGGAAGTTTGTGTCCAAGTAAATATCTCCCCAGTAACTATTTTCTCTGTTTAAGTGTTTTGAATTTAATGAGCTTTATTGTTGGATGGATTGCTATCACTTCTCTGTTATTATGGCGTCAAGAGTACTATATATTACTGTTTTGTTCCTTACTTAAAACCTCCTTTTGGTTTACTAGAATGCCAGTATTTTGATTTCTGTAGTGTACTTAGGCTAATGCCGTATATATTTGTGTTTGATGCTCCAAACTGGATGTGTGCAACTATAGGGATTGATTCTGTTGAAAAACTATGAACAAGGCTGGTCTTCATGATCATTCATTGGGCATTCATTTTTGCTTTTCAGGGACTTGGGATTGATAGATTAGTGATGCTGCTAACAAACTCTGCAAGTATAAGGGATGTTATCGCGTTCCCTGTCCTTAAAGTCCAGCATTAAGGTGATTCTAGCTTCCTTTGAAGAGATGCCAGCTGTATGTGTGAAAATTTCCATTCAATTTCCCCTTTGGCTCCTAGAGTAACCTCTTATAGTTACATATTCATGAGAGTACAACTGACAAGTCATCAACAGTCAGGGAAATTCTAGAATAGAATCCTGAGAAGCGGCTCTCCTTCATTTCCAGGCTTTCAATTTCTGCGACTTCTAATTGAACAATGTGGTTAAATTTCTCTGTGAAAAATTGATTTTTATCATTTTAATTTTATTCTTGTATTATTTTGGGGATGCTCCATCTAATATAATGCGAGTTATAGGGTGAGTTTGCCTTTTGTCACATGTGGAAAGTATTTTGATTCTTCATCTTCATGTGTGTAATGATTCACACAAAATGAAAGGAGTTGTCTCCTTGACGTATTATGTAACCATGGTGAAACATTGGGTTATCTAAAATAATGACTTCTGTTTTGACGGATATTTTTTATTTGACGTGTGTATTTTTATTTTCCGTGGGAATTCCAACAGATTGGGACCATAGTATGTTATTATGTGGAGGGATGTTTTTTTTGAGTAGACCATAGAAATGTTGCTACGACCAAATTTGCTTGCGATTTATGCCACACATTAGGTAACGTTTTGATTTAACGATGAAAAGGAGGGGAGGGAGATGTTTGCCCAAAAAAAATAAAAATAATAATAAATAAAAAGGAAAAGAAAAAGAATTTGGTCTCCACCTTCTGCAGCACATATTTTTGCTGACATTCCGTTGATTCTAAAACAAAATTTGCATTTGATTGATATAATGTACTTTTGTAAGAGGGTTCTTAGCAGCAAGAAACAAAAAAATTTCATCAACATTTCCCTTACTGAGTTTCTGAATGCTTGCTTCTACTATCATATTATTTCATTCCTACGCATGTACATTCCTTGAAGACGCTGTTTCATTATACCTTTTCTTCTGAGCAGACAAAAACCTCAGCTTCCTGCGGTCCATTCTCCACTGCTAAGTGTCAATGCCCAGAAAAACCATCAGATAAAGGAATCAAGATAATTATATGCATGTTTTTTGCTATAGTGCAGCATGCTGGCGTATACTCTATCCCATACACCTACAAACATGGATTCATCATCAGGACTTAAAGAAACCCCAGAGATCTCTCCGAAGAAATCTAGCTCCTGCCTCATTTTGTAACCAGCTTTGGTGTCGTATATGTGAACAAAATCAGCAGGTTCAGCAACCACCATGAACCGCCCATCAGAGGAGTAGCGTATGGACCGCACTGCACCGAGATTTCCCCTCAGAACTGTGGTTGAGGATGAGAGGTTTCTGATGTCCCACACGCGACATGTTTTGTCCTGATTTCCTGTTGAAAACGTGCGGCTGTCTGGATGCCAAGCTGAAGCAAATGAGTAATCTAAGTGACCCACCAATGAGGTCACGACCTGTGGATCATTGGAAATAGAGAAGGAACATGTTATGGATGAAATACAATGCACAATCCTCATAACTTCGGAGTTCTGATGTAGCCTAAAGGGATTTTAAGATGGCACAAAGTTCATCCCAGGTTCAAATCCCGCCAAACACACATTTGACATGATTTTTTTAAGGGGTTAATTGCAAATAAACTTCCAATAGTATTGATGTTTATGTTTTAAAATTACAATCAACTATAGGCTTTCTACCCTCAGGAAGACTCACTAATTTCACCTAGAGGCAATATATGCCAAAATTTCGCCTAGGGTAAAATAGTCAACAAAATTTATCCCACATGTTCTATGTGCAACAACTAAATTACAGGGGTAGCACAAAAACAACGATATTACAGGGATTATACATGCAATTAATTAACCCAAAAAAATGATCCATGAAAAGGGCGCTTGCCTAGGAAATGTCATGTATAAAATTATAAACTACGATCTCCTTCACTACTTGGTGCTTTAGTGTAGCTGATGGGACATCGTTATTTCATTAAGTTGACACATGTATTTAAATACGTGTAGCATGTGAAGGAAAATGATAGATTCGCAGTCAGAAAGTACCTTTCCATTCCGTGAATCCACCAATAATCCATCACGGTCATCTCCCACAACAATAAATAGCTTTCCGTCTGGGCTTGTTGATGTATGCTATGAAGAGGAGCAGAATAAATTTAAGCACAACAATTAGTCAGAACATAGGTAAAAGATTACGAGCTAATATATCTAACAGTGAAGAACCTACATTGATCGGCCACGGGAAACGAAAATGGTTTAAGAGCTGAAACCTCTCCACATCAATCTCACGAACACCACCATCATTGTTGGATGACATAAATCGAACACTGCCACTGCGAGAGGATTTTCCAATTTATTATTTCTCTATTAGTCAAATGAGACATGCCAGTTTCTCAGTTAAAAGGACATAATACCTCACATTTCTGTATATGTCAATAGAATTTGTGATAGCATTGTCAGTCCTTGTGCAGAAGCTAACACCGGCACGATCCATATGCTGTTTGATATAGTTTGGAAAAACATAGTTAAACTTCCTAACTTTGGCTTGAAGCAGTACAGGTATTTGAATTCACCAACTAGTATTAAGATATCAAGTTTCCTATATTTTCTTTTTCATTTGCAGGTAGAATATTAAATTTATTCATGGCAAGTTGCAGATAGACCGCATGTAATATCAAAATTGAAAATGCGACCTCTGTAGTTCTATTGTCATAGATAGACCTCTTGAGTGAAATTTTTTTTCACCCTTTTCAGGGGGTCTATCTGCAAGAATAGAACTCTTTCAGCAGGCCTATCTGCGACAACAGAACTACATGGGTAACAGGTTCAGTTTAGCTATAATGGAGGGGAGCTATTTGCAATTAACCCTAATATATATAGTTAAAGCACGACTCTAAAGAGCATTTCAGGTCAACGGAATTGAATCATTAGAGACCATAATGTATCATGTTGAGATAGGTATTCGACTAGACAGTGGAACTAAGAAATGATCTCATGAAACTAATATTTTGTAGAATAGAACACCTACCGTATCAAGAAAATAGTAAATGAAATCCTTAATAGACTGCCCATCAAACAAAGTTTAAAAGGTAAATAAAGCAAAAAATAAACCTTATAAAGATTTGAAGGTGTTGAACAATTGAAAAAAGAAAGAAAGGTAAAGTTGTAAAACAAGGAAACTAAAAGGAAAGTAGGTGGATATTTCAAAAGTCTGAGCAGTAGACATCTGATGCACAAATATTGCTGTAATATGAATACTCTAATAAGTCGAAATTAAAAGCTGACCTTACAAGTTAGTTCTCCTTGAAAACCTCCAGCAACCAGTAAATTGTCTTTGACTGCAAGAGTACTAATTTGAGTTCGTGAAATTCCTTCAATTAGATTCCCAGGATGCCTCTGAACATAAGTAAAATGATTATGAATTAGTTAAGAAGATAAATGCACAGATGATAACAGAACATTATGGCTGATTAATATGTTATAAAATACAATGAAAGTAAAGGGAAGAACCTCCAAAGGAGCCACAAGTCTGGAAAAGTTGAGAGCCTCTGACAACTCGCAAGATATTGATGACCAGTGCATAACAAAAGTATTTGATGTAAAGTAGACATCATGTTTCGAAGTTGCCCAAACCAAGTTCCTCATCTGCGAAAGAAAAGCTCCTTCAATGGCCTTTCCCCAATAAATAAGCAATAAGGGAAATTGATCCTTAGAGAAATTTTTAAACAACATAGTTACTTAGGTAAAGATAATGTTCAATGACAAAAAAAGAAAAGGAAAGTGCAATAATCATAATGACAGTGCAAAATAATAGCAACAAGCATCCTTTTTGGTGCCGAATGAATCCAATTCATGCAGTCTTTACCTCGTAAACCAAATTCGTAAAGGGAATTCTGGCATATTTCATAAGAGAGGTTATTTGAATATGTTATTCTCATCACACTATCACAGGAACAGTGTTAATGGAAGGAAAGAATCATCTAAGATTCAAAAGGAAATATCGGGAGTATCGTAAGGACTGAAACCTGCCCTCTCTTGATAAGTTACGTATTCAGAGTTTCAACCATGTGTGAAACTATCATCAGACAACCAAACACTGAAGCTTATGCAGAAAATGCCTTTCTGAGACACGATAAATCCATTCTGAAAGTTTCCTCCAAACTATCACACGACTTTAGCATTAATACTGTAAGTATATACTATTCGTAGCAAATATCACTGTTAAGTGCAGCTGTAACAGCAAAGACATGCCCAACGCAAATCAGAGCATAGTGAGCTCGAGTAACATGAATCAAGGGACACCAAAGGGAACAGGTCATTTAGAACACAGGTATAGCTAAGCATAACATCTCAACTTGACACGCGTTTGTAAGGGATGGCTCCCTCACACCTAAAGAACATAGCTTTCAAAAGATATTCTATGAGACGACAAGTTTCCAACACATTTTCCCGTTATTATTTTGCCTCTTTCTTTTCCATTCAAAGAGCTTTTGTATTATTTCTACTACTTGAATATTTGTACATTCATTTAACCATCAACTTGCCTCAGATGATTAACTTCTCCGCACGGTGACTTTACAAGTTTTGATGACTCACAGTTCAGTGTTCGAAAGTTATATTGAACTCTTTATAAATTCAAGATCAGTGACTAATATTAATATAGATGCGGCTGAGAAAAATTGGAGAAGTAATATTCTATATACTCAACAAAAATAAAATTAAGGGATGTGATTCATCCGGACTAAATTGAATAATGCTTACTACTAAGTTACATTTCATTCCGTAACTAGACTCAACTCCAGTAATTTACATTCACCTTTTAAATTTTATTAGTATGAAGAAAGAAGTCAAACCTCCATGGAGAAATTAATTAATTTTGGAACTACAATCTACCACGAAATGATTCGGGATAATGTCTACCTGTGAATGGAGAATAGTGGGCTTGGCCAATCTCGAGTTATACCGAAACTCATAATAGTTACCACCCTTCTCCATTTGCTTCCATTCCTAAACAAACCAGTAAAAAGACCCCAATAAGTAATTAAAAAAACAAAGACCAAGCGAAAAACCGTGCACAATATTTCACAAAAAGGAGGCAAAATAAAGACCTCATCTATCTGGTCGCCAGATGAATGAACATTGTCATAGTTATTGTACTGCTCCAACCTTGCTCTCCTATAGTTTTCCCTCGTGATATGCAATCTATCCCATGGAATCCCTTGTATATCTTTCCCTCTTCTTGCTTGCTCAGAGGATGTATCAGTTACTCTAGTGAGCTGCACGCACTCAACCCCAGATCAAATAAATTAAGATCAAAATCAAAATTTCTTTTTTTTTGTTATGGATCAATTCACAATAAGGGTATTCAAAATCGATAAGAAAATTAAAAAAAAAAATTGATGCAGATGAAATAGGAAGCGCTGACCAATTCATACTCATTCTCAACTTGATCAGTGATGATGCCCACATCATCATCCTCATCCGCAGTCATGTACTCAAAATACCCATCTTCATTCGTGGACATCCTCTCCCTTGAACCCCAACTATTTCGATCAAATTGAAACCGAACACAAACCCATGAGAAACCCCACAAAAGAAAAGAGAGAAAAACACTGAACTTAACAAGAAAAATGGCGAGAAAAAAGCGGAGACTAACCTTGGAGCGCACACCAAGAGCAAACAATGTCCTCTTCAGAGCCCAGAGAAAGATGTACCGTAAATATATTAGTCTTTGATATTACGGTTGAGAGAGAGAGAGAGAGAGAGAGAGAGAGCAGGAGCAAAAGCAAACGCGAGGAGGTATTTATGTGGACGATACAGAACAATCGATAATAAATTATCTTGTTGAAATATTAATTAGTGCTGTTTACTTAATTATTTACTTTGCTTTCCACTTTCGATTTTCAAAGTCTTTGGTCGTCTAACTTTCGGCTTCGGCGGTGAACGCATAAGAATCATGCCTGAAGCCTTCATTGCGTGGGGTGGGAACTGACTCAATAAACCCCCCTCAATTTTTTATTGCATTGAACCTCCTGAACTTTTTTATTTTACTAAATCTTATCTAAAAATTTATCTTTTAATAATTATATTAGCACCATCGACTCTAATGTTTTAATGGGTAAATGCATGACAAGAAAGAAGACAAATAAATATTTCCTTCTTAATTTCAAAAAAAAAACCCTACCCTTTTATTAGAAAGAAAAAATAGGAAATATTTTGGGACTAGGGGATTATTTTCATCTTTTTTTTTCGCACATGCTTGCCGCATGAGATGTTTAGAACCAATGGTGCTTATTTAGAGATGAATAAGAAATTTTCATGTGAAATTTAGCAGAATAAAAATGTTTAAGGTGGTTACGTGACAATAACCCCTAAAGTTTAGGGGCTTTTATATAATAAAAAAGTTGATGGGGTTTGTTGCAACTCCCCAGAAGTTAAGGGGGGTTTATGTACTTTACCCATAAACTAAAATATAATGATGTTTCTTATATGAAAATTTCTTTAAGGACCCAAAATATGGGACCAATAGGGGGGGACAAGTGAGGTGTCCCCCTCCTATTGGATAATGAGTTGGCCATCATTAATGATGACTAACTCATTATTCAATAGAAGGGGGACACCTCACTTGTCCCTTTTATTGGTCCTATATTTTGGGTCCCTGTAGCAAAGCTCTTCTCATATTGTAGTGAGAAAATGATGATGAAGAAAGCGATGATGGTGGTGATGATGATGGTAATCGAGGCAGTGGAGATAGCAATTTAATCTCTCCACAGATAAATTAATTATCTTGAATCAGCAAGAATATCAATTAGCTAGGTAACAAGCAAATAGTTAATTAGGACAGACATCCCTATTTAGCCACATCTCTGATTAGAGCCAGAGAGTCTTAATAAACCTTTTCTACACGTTGATTATTATTAATTGAGAAAACTTACAAGAAACTCATAAGGATACTCGAAATGTGAGGACCAGAAAGCAAAAAATTCTAGAAACCATATGAAAGCAACATTCTCATTAATTTTTTTTTAAATTAAATGAAAATATAACTACGAGGAGCCACCCTAGGTCCCTAGCTAGAGCTTCCAGAAAGAGAAGGACAGCAACATTATTCTTATTAAAGAGTGTTGCTTTTTGGCTCGCGGTTGGGCAACTCGCGCCAATCTTTGTGGGGCCCACCCCCCTGCTCCTCTCTCGCGAGTTGGGCACGAGTTGCCCAACTGCGAGCCAAAAATCATTTCTGCTTATTAAAATATTTCTAAGCAAACGGAAATATGACCTCATGGAGTAGGTAGGGTAGGCTTGCATTATCCTATAGTTTGATTTGTATCAAGACTTATAATTTCATTAAATTTAAAGGAAATTAGCACAATTCGACTCAAATTTAGGGGTGACAAACCGTATTAGTATTTGAGAAAATATTCTTAACCATATCCATTAGGATAATAATATGATTACTCAAATCTATAACTGATAAGATGTGATTATGAATATAGTTTTGCAGTGTAATATTCGGATACACATTCGAAATATCCGAATAAATGTTGATCATAGAGCTACAAGTGTTTTAAGTTTTAGATTAATGAACTTGAGACTAATTCTGATGATCAAAAGTTCCAATTTTTTAGATATAACAAATATATTAATGAACTCTCTTGTACCATATGAACTATATTTTTTCAATATTATTTTTGTTTTCTCATATCCGTTTTGTAGACACATATATATCTGCATATACATTAGCATGTATATCCATATCCGCATCTAATTTTAGCGGGCATGGATGTGATATTTCCTTATTGATGCATATCTACATCTATATCCGTGAATGACAACATATAGGAATATGATAAGTATCATATCCAAGCCGTATCTGAACCTCTTCCACCCCTACTCAAATTAGAAGTAGAGAATTAACTTATCAAAGTTATATCATAAAATAGTAGACAGAACATAAATATTCTACGTGTACATAGACTAAGGTAACCTTTTTTCCTTTTTTGAGAAAGGTTAATCCAACCAACTTTTTTTTATCAAGAGATTGATTGATTTATTTTATGCTAAACAATATTTTGTGTGTGTGTGTCTATTCCTTGGGAAAATATGTAAATTGTAAAATTGTTATATTTGAAAAGAATAAAAAATTTCTATACCTGATAGTGGATAATAATACAAAGACACCATACTTGATAATTGACATGTATATGGGATATACTAACAAGAAAGTGTTACATTATTTACTTGATTCTTGGGAAGTTGGCATTGTTCAAGCCAAATGGTGGTTTTGTTAGATAAGAAAGTCCCTTTTGATCTTAGCAATTTTATAATCAAATTAGCAAGCTCACGAGGTAGAAAAGAGAACGACAATAACAAGGTCAAACGTGTGCTTCTCTCACAAATGACTCTTAGTTTTATATCTTAAATTAAGTTCAAATTTAACTTTGATTCAAACATTCTAGATACTTATATTTTAATCAGATACGCATGCATGCATGTGAACAACGACAGCAAGAATACTAGGTTGACGTCCAAAATGGGTTAGCATGACATGGACATATTTGGGCCAAACACTTGATACAGTTAGAGACCACAAGATTTGCTAGCTAATAGGAAATTAGCAAAAAATAAAATATAAAATCAAGACAGGGGGTCCATATGGACATATTTTGGGCCGAACACTTGATACAGTTAGAGACCACAAGATTTGCTAATAGGAAATTAGCAAAAAATAAAATATAAAATCAAAACAGGGGGTCCACACACACACAACACTTGATACAGTTAGAGACCACAAGATTTGCTAATAGGAAATTAGCAAAAAATAAAATATAAACTCAAGCTAGGGGGTCCACACACACATATATATATATACTAGTTAGATTGTACGTACAATGCACGTGGTAAATTTTTTTTATCATTTATTATAAAATTTTAAAATTAATTTAGAGAAAGATTTGTTATTAAATTATTGAATGTAAGCAATTTATCAAACACAAAGACGTAAACTAAAAATTCTACATTTGAACAATAAATTTTCATTTAGTGCTTGATTGGGTGATAGTACACTTGTTGCATTATAACTATCTCGTATTTCTTTCTGTTAGCAGCAGCCATAGTGCTTCCGTTCTTCCAGTTTGCATCATTATCAACAAATTTAAGTCTTGATAACCCGTTGTCTTGCTTCAAAAGATTGTCACTGTTCTTTTCATTGAATGACTTGTCTAGCGAAACAAGCCCCTTAAGCACAGATTGAATTGTCGAGTTGTCTAAACCATTCTGCAATTTATCATTAGGTAGTAAAGTTTGGTTGTTTCCGAATTTATTGTTTCTTTATCTTTTCCTTTTCTATTGAATAAAACAAAATTTTCCATGATCATCGATCACAACTATACCTCATAGGATTCTTACTGGCTTCCAAAGTTGTTGTCTCGTTGCTTCCAGTAGCACAACCAAATATGCGGAAAAGATTGCTGGTGCCATGGAAATAGGCATGTGTTAATTAAACCAATTTTTTGTAGAAAAATCGGACAGAGCTTCGTCGATCCGCGAGGAGATCTAGAAGCCTGAAGCGCCTATCTCGGCTAAAACGAGATATTTGCTCTTCTTAGGATTACCGACGAAGGGTAATACTAAGGAACGGACACGGGTGATGAAGAATCTGATGAAGACCTCTCCTCTGTTGAAGCGCTCGACCACTCTTCACTGCAGCAGGGCTTCGCCAACTCTCCAAAAATCCAGATCCTCCAAAAGTGAGGCCTAAGGTTCCTATTTATAGGCATGAGGGCACATAGGCTTTGCCTAGACACCCCAGGGGTTAATGCGATAATCGGTGCTAACAAGAAACAAATACATGTATGAACCAGTGGCCACCCGTTGTCCGTCACCACTAAGATAGCATTCAAATTTACCAAAAATTGAATCATTTTCATACAGATCGCATAACTATATAAAATTAGACAATCATTAAAAAATATATATTAGACTACAACTTATTCTCAAAAAGAAAAAGAAAAAGAATAAGAAACTCAAAGGCGTAGCATCCAATGTTACTAACAAATTCAGAATGAAATACATAATTGTAAATAGTATTCCCCTTCGGCCTTAAATATTCATTGACCTGGAATGTTGCAACTGGACCACTGTCCATGCTTATATCCCATAGCTGAAATCAGTTACAATCATATTTAAAAAAAAAGAAACTAAATACTAGAAACAGTTGATTCTCAAAATTGCACAAGGATTGTAACATGGATATCAAAAGCTCATTGCTGATTATCCTAAAAAAAGAAACAATTGAAAACTTGAAGATAAACGACTAAAAACAACTGTAACCTTAAGAGTCATGTAATCACGACTGAGAATGTGTCTTCCATCCTTTCCAAATTTAATATCTGAAATTACTGAGAATGTGTCTTCCATCCTTTCCAAATTTAATATCTGAAATTGACGCAATGATCTCAGTGGAAAAAAGATCTCGAACCTGGTGCTTCATGTCCAAATTTAATATCTGAAATTGACGCAATGATCTCAGTGGAAAAAAGATCTCGAACCTGGTGCTTCATTCTCCTCAAACCTGGTACATGCAATTAGCCATGACAGTAGCAAGGAAGCAAACAACTCAAAATAAGAATTCAGTAAGTTTTTGTTGAAACAAGAAGTCCACCCAATTACATGTCACTGTATAAAAGTTCAAAAAAAAAAAAAACAATAGATCACTTACAACATTGAGTGGTTATCACACAGTGCTGATTGTCGCAAATCAATAAGTCGTATAGAGCCCTTAGAGCTACTATATGCTAATGTGTTACAGTGCGTAGGATGGAATTCTCCGGATGTTATCACCTTTTGGAAACAACCTAAAAGTCTTAAAATGACGGGTAACAATTTTCAGCATGCCAAAGACCTCTGCCATTTACAGTCGTATTAAACATGAGAACTCCAAAAAGTTGGGTTTACCTATGTCTAAGCACTTGGAATAGTAAAAATTATAATTGAGAAACAAATTTCCATTCATGTTTCAAAAACATCTGACTTGCACTTAGAATATCTGAGGTCAGATCCTAGGACAATGCTGAACATAATCCACAAATGAGAGGCATATATGAATCTATGACCGTTAAATAGTCCCTTACAGTTATGGACTCAAATAGAAGTGCAAGGCATGATGGTTATGAGTTATGTTTATGTAAATGTTTGTGCATATAAGCAAGCATGCACAACATGTACAAACAGCAGTAACCATTGCGTTCATCCAGATTATGCATGTGTATGCCAGCATACTTGCACCATAAAATCTTTGGTGAATGACAACATACTGCGGGTAGAATGGGAACTCCAGTGCTACAAAACGTGAGAATTGCATACATGTCATGATAGCACAGGAAGTAAGATAATGAAATATAATATAGAATAGTTTAACAGATGAAGAGAACTTAAAAAGAATGAAGCAAACAATATGGAGAAATAAGAGAAATCAGGAGAATAGCATACTTGTAAAGGGTCATGTATCTTCAAGAATAAATAGAAACTGATTCATCGAATCTAAAGCCAAGACAACAGATGAGTGATAACAAGGTATGGCATATGCATTGATAAGATAGCCATGACAACATATGAACTACTAACAAATTTAAGCCATAAGACTTCTTCAACAGTGGTATCAGCAAAAGCGACACATGACCAGTAACTACTCGAAAAGTTTGTACCAAATGAATAGAAGGTTAGGACGTAAGTCTTCATAGGAATATGCTAATGAGGAAAAATATGTCCGGCACCATAAATGGGTCACTGATATGAACTCTCCAAAAGATTTACCTTTAGTTCCTGACAATTGACAAGAATTCTAAAAATGCTGTTAGGATCTGTTCGAGCATCTGAAAATCCTCGCAAGAGCAAGCTAGGATTAACTTTCCATAAATTATGGAGAATGTTGTTCTTCATAGGATCATTTAAAAAAATAGGGAAAACAGCGGAAGATACTTCGTACTGGAGGAGATTATAGGTAGACTGGCAAAAACAAATGAATCTAGTTTTTTTTATTAGCATCAACTGGAGTGCAAAAGTAAAATGGAGAAACAAAACTTAAACCCAAGGAAAAAAGGATCACCTACATTAATCTGAGCAACTCCAAGAAGTAAAACATCGGGAAATTGATTAAGAGGGTGCTCAATAATTAACCAGACAGAGCTTGCATGGCCACTCTCAGCTAATTGGCATAATACATCCAAAAGGTCTAGGCAGGACCATGCCTGATTACCAACTCCATTAGAAAGATTAGCTGAATCTGTGTATGTCTGAGAAAACAGTCAAACATTAGCCAGATGTAGCAGAAAAAGCAAATTATATGACACTTAAAATAAAAATTACCAGGTGTCTTGAACAATGTGCAAATGTAAATACATCAGGTGGTGCAGACACGACATGTCTCAGAAAAGATAATTGTCCCTCTGCATTCTGCCAGACTAAACCACAAATAGCATGGAGGGGAAAAGGGGCTTGGATAGTTGGTGTTGGTCAAGTCAAAGAGGAACATGCTAATACTTATATACTATTCAGAGTAAATTGAGGAATTTAAAGATACCTCACAAGCTTTATTATATATAGACATCAGAAGAGAAAATGATGTTTCGTCGGGAATGTTGAAACCTTCATGATCAAGATTTTCCATAACACAAGTCCAATATGTTTTAGGAGCCTGCATGTAAATCATCAATTAAAAATGAGCTACTAATCTTCACAAGCCCTAGCATGCTTGACCATTAAATAGTGGAGGGGAAATATAACAGACGGGATCCCTCACCAGCTGCTTAATCGAATCTACAAGGACATCAACATTCTAAGTGTTTAATGATGATGGATCAACAGTTGCGCTGCCACCAAATGCTGAGTAGAATGATGAATGAATATTTTGAGCATCATTGAGACCAACATGAGAGCGAGCAATCGTGCCAAGTAACTTTTACACGTGCAATGCACGTGGTAAATTTTTTTATTATTTATTTAAAATTTATAAATTTATTAAGTGAAAGATTTGTTATTATATTATTGAATGTGAGCAATGGATCAAACATATAGACATTCAACATTTGAACAATGAAATTACATTTATTAATTGATTGGGCGATAGTACACTGGTTGCATCTATAACATGATCGATCAATCAAATACCGTCACAAGAATATACCTAATAGTAATGTTTGATCATGTGACTGTAAAACCAAACTCATGGCATTAGAAGTTTGACTAAACCTTTGCAATACCTAATGTGTGAGTACATATATTCACACATGAAAATTTCACAATCCCATATAAATTCTAAAACACTCAATGAACTTTATCCTTCCCTTTAAATATAACATGTCATCTTTAGCATTCTCCATATTAAACCACCACACTTTATGCTGAAGATTCACAAGAGAATCACTTGCTACCTTTGCATTTGAACTCTTTTTTGAATCAACAAACTTTAGTTCTAATCTGTATAAAGCACGGACATCACATATATCATCGTCATCCTTACCTTAATAGTCTTATCATCACCACATATGATAATAGACAGTCTCTTATTGGGATGCAAAAATGCACTGTCAAGCTCTTATTGGGTTGCGAAAGTGCAATGTCATTGACACACCTACATGAGCATCAATTTATGCAGGCGGAACATGTGAGTGAGTGATATATGGTTGCCTACACACATCAAAATTACAACTCGGCTCCAATTGTTGAATGAGTTCTCCATTAGGAATATAAGCATACGTCTGTATGAGATGTTTATAGAATGCAACACCTAGCAGAGAGCAGAGCAAAAGTTATCAGTGAGAAAAATCTCATTGCCCCCCCTCCCCATAACGAAAGAAGGAATCCATCTATAAATGGAACATCATTAAATAAGAAAAGCATTTGAATTAATCAATACCAATAACAACACCATCAGGGCTCCAACGGTTGACATATATTGTTGCATCTTTCATCAAGTCTGCCTAAATTTGGCGCAAGTTATATATTGAGGAATAGATCGAGATGAGAAAATCCGACAAAACGCACATGAATTAGAACTATAATGGCATCATGTTATGAAGTTTTGTTTGGAAAGGTAGAGTTGAAGTAGATAACGGTAGAGGCACTGAACAATCCTGGACATCCCAAACCTTAAATTTCTTGTGTGCTAGCCTTTCTAGTGTACTCAGTACTATGTAAACTAAATTGGAATGGATAGGTAAGTAAATAAGATATGTTGCTGTTAAGTGCTAGAGAATAGCTTTCTAACTTGATCACCATGGCTGATACAGCAAGCTAAGTGGAAGTACCTTGGTAGATCAAAGAAATATAAAACTACATTCAATGTGCAAATCATCCAAGTTATATGGAAGAAAGCTAAGAACGAAATAAGAGGTGGTCACAACGAGATCTCTTTGATTTTAAATTACAATTAAAAATTCAAATTGGATGTTTCAAGACTGGGTTTCACGAGATTTTTACCAATAGTTGACACCCTTTTTCGTGGTAAAAGAAATTTTGACAATTTTCTGCAGACCTCAGTTTTTGGTTGCATGTAAAATCTACAGATTTCTTTCCTTTATGGAATATTTACTGAGGTTAGGATGAACATATCTTTCTTCATATAACATATCAAAAAAATTGTATTATCTTGTCAATACGTTTATCTCCTTGCAAGAGGAGTAACAGACTGCATGCAAATGAACATAGTTTCTATACTCTAGTTATCATTTCTGTTTTGAGAAAGAAACCAGCATGCCATAACTCACCCCATATAGCGTTAACAATAAGGATGAAGTTTACAGATAAATACATTTAAAAAAAAGTGTTTTTCTACTGCAGATCTTCGAAACTAATGCAGGAGGAACTAAAGAGATCGTAGATCACAGAGTAACTGACCTTCTACAACCTGTAGGCCAGGAAGGAACTCAGGTGCTTGCACAACACATTCAATATCTTCTAAGCAAACCGTCTATAAGGAAAAAGATGGGAGCAAATGGGAGAAGAAAAGTGCAGGAATAAGTACTTGAAGAATCAGACCTATGAGAGCCTTGCCAAGGTCTTATTCATGTGCATGAAGCCTAAAGCTTGATGCAATTCTTTCGATGTTATATTAACCGATGGGATTTCTATTGGTTGATGCATAGGGTTTTTACAAATTTTATCGGCAAAAGAGGGCTAGAATTGTACTCTATGCATTAACTGTTGTATTGATATATCCCTGTGAACTAAGATTAGTTTCCCAGAAGGTAATAGGAATCATATTGCCATTTAGAGTTTTAAAAGATGGAAAATATGGTCGTATTAAGATTTAGAGTTCTAATAGATGTAAAACCTGGTCATACTAAGTGATACTTTATATGATTTTCAGACTGGAATCTGATTTAGTAATTCTATCCGTATTACATTTTTTACTACTTTGGTGTAGGTATTATAAGATTCAAGTATCTTCCAAACGTAAAACGATATGACCTCAGGTTGTGTAATTCATGAGAAAGAAGTTGGTATATTGTGTTTTAATAATATCAAAATAGTAGACAAAGTGTATAGTAATTAATAGTATATTATGCTCTCTATAAGAAATGTTTGATGTTGTGGATGGAAACCCAAGCTCATGCATTGGGTATGGATGGATTGCCACTTGTCATCCAACCTGCAATTGCACTTGCTGATGGAGAAACAACATGCTAAAATGGTTGAATGGACGAAATATCACAAATTAAGAATCAAAGATTTTTAAACCTTAGAGAGGATATGGAAAAGCAAGAAATATTTCACAATTGTGTCCTCACTTACGCTATTAGTACGTAGAGGAAGAAATGGCCCAGACTTAGGAATTGGCCCTACAAGGGGACCATTGGTTGATGGCGGCGGCCTTGCTCCGTTAGTAGGAGCACACGTGTGATTCGTAGAAGGTGTTTTAATGTCAGGTTTGGGTTGAGGGTTCTTGCAAAGCTGATGTTGCCAATTAAGACTAAAAGCAATACACATATAATAAGCATAGTAATTAATTAGCTAATACAAGTTCATGAAATAAGTAAGTAAATAGATAAATAGTGGTCATGTATTTTAGCCTTGCCTGTATAAACCAGTTGCATCGCCTCTCTCCAAAACTACACATTTCAAATGAGAGAACATAACTGATGATCTAATACTTTCATTTCATCTAAAAGGAAAAATGCAAGGAGAAAAAAAAAATCTCATAAAAGGTTTACACACTATATCACGGAACTCTAGCCGAATGTGTGTCACATTAGTCTTATGAATGTCATTACCATCGGTTCCTCTTTTTTATAGTATTTTTTGAGACCACAGAACAAACTACAGTAAGATTAAGATATTGGAAAAGCCGAAAAGAAACTAAAGATAAGCATTTTACATTTTTACTCTAATTGTTGGAACTGAATGACCTACAACAAATGGACTTCGGTAAGATTAAGATATGGTAAAAGCACTTAGAGATAAGCACTTTATACTCAATGATGAAATTGAATGGCCTGTACGTTTACTGAATTGTGAGTCAAGAAAACATTCTTGAATTCACAACAATAGCATTATTTATTAATGTATGTTCTGAAGAGTACTGGATGATGGTTGTTCAATAATTTTTGGAACCATTCATTACAAAAGAAGCTTCCAATTATTTATACAATTGGTATATGCTCAATATTATTATGACCAAGAAAATCAATTTGAAGATATTTCCAAAGCGATAGTATTGTTGATAGGATATGCACATTAACAAAGAATTGTCAATTATCACCAGTGACTTGGATAGAAAGATTCCCAGAGCTAGCATCCATAAAGTCATAAGTGTAATTTTATCTAACAATTTGGAGTTAAGTACTATCCTTCAAGAAAATTTATATCAATTTCAATAGAATCAAATTGAACTTCACATACCTTAAGAGCATGTGAAAAGCCAGATTGGTAAACTGAATTCGTAGCAATCTCACATATATCACATGCACTCACCTTCCAAAACTGTTAAAAGAAAAGTAAAATTTAACATCTCACAGGTACAATATAAAGAAGAATCATGAGAAGGAGCTTTATTGAAGTTGCAATGCTGTATTCCTCCACCAATGGTTCTTTAGTAAAACAGATTTGCAATGAGTTATCTGTTGGCAAAGAAACATTAAGGCTCATAAGAAAAACATTGGAAAAGGTTTTTTAATGATAATCTAGAAATAAGGAATTGTTGCTCAATGGAGACATTGCGAGGAAATCTGGGCAATAAAAAAAATGACCATTAGCTTTACCTTTGAAAGACCTAAGCATACAGTAGTACAACATTTTCAAAAAAACTGCAGCCCACATGCAAAACTTATGGAAATAATAACCTTGAACATTTACAAAACAAAATGCTAATGAGAGTAAAGCATGTACAAATAGTGAAACGGTCCAGCTAAGGTAAACTGCTAGCAAGAGATGCCAAAAATTATTTGAGAAAGATAATACAAATACTGCAGCACAGGAGACATTCTCAGTTCGATTCCATGAACAATGTTGTGAGCGAGAACATCAAGGTGATCAATATCACCATCATGCCAAACAAAATAAAATGAGAATAATTGCTCCACAGAAGGAAGTAAATATAGATAACCTAAATAAGACGGGTTTGATGGAGAAAATTAACTTAAAATGAAGTATGCATGGCTATATTCATCAAGGAAATAGAGGATTTGCGCAACAATTTAGATAAAGTATTCAAAAAGGAAGTAAATATAGATTACCTAAATAAGACGGGTTTAATGGGGAAAATTAACTTGTCTTAAATAATAGTGATCAAGCCGAAGAAACTTCTGTGGTCATTTCCCCCTCAAAAATTTCTAGTCTAGTGTTGACAGGCTTTTAAATGATCTTCCCGTACCATGCCTGCGGAAATCAGTATTGTCTCAGTAATAGGAACTAAATGTTGCAGCAGTATCTTAATATATTAAACTTGCTAAAAATAAAATAACAAGTTGTGTCATACATTAATACACGTGCAACCTGTTCTCTATGACTAAATCTTATAATACATAAAACACACACAAAAGATTTACAAAAGCAACTTAAAGACAACAAAAAACAAACAATTTTAAAAGTGTATTTGAAAAAAATTTAAGACAAACATGAACCTCTTTCTCTTTCTTTCATTTTCATTTTTATAATTTTCTGAAAAGTTCTATCCAACACACTTCATGCGTGTGTACATCCAACTATATTTTAGATTCTTATGTTGCAAACTTCATTGTGCATGCATAAGCAAGAACACACCGTGATACAAGTAATGCAATACCATGATGAGTGGCTTTATGAAAAAACAGAAAAGAAATACATAGCAAAGGGATTGTTTTTTATTTAACAATCAACCTTTTAGATGATCAATATCTGTCAATGAGATCATTTCCAACCAATATCCCAATAAAAAGCAAAATTTTGAAGCAAAATGATGACGTAGAGAAATGTTGCATGCATATCTTGAGGTTTGTCTTCTGACACCCAATACTTTCAAATTACATATTAATAGGTCGGTATGCAAAATCTGCAAATAGCTTAACAAACAAACATGTCATGTTATATGGATATCCCAGATTATTCTTCACATATGCCTAAAATACAAAGTGATGAAACATGAACTCATTTAGAGATCTTCCCAATCTTAAAGTGGTTGTAAAATCTGTTCAATAAAAGCAAACATAAAAAGAAAAATATAGAAATACTTACCCAAATAAACCTGCTTCCCACTGTCCCTGCTCAAGTAAAAAAAAGAGGAAAAAAAGGAACAACCTTCTTCAAATTCCACATCAAATTCACAAAAAATCAACTTTCAAGCTACATTCACACATCAATCGTGAAAAGGATTAAGGAATTCTACCTATATAACTCCAAATAAAACATATTTGCAAACGTAGCCTCCAAAAGTATATATACCTATTAATTTAGCTCCCAATTCTAACACATTAAGCTAAACTACCCCCAATGTCGTATTTTTCTCATATTAAAGATCTAAAGAAGTAACAATATCTCACAATCAATTCATAATAAATAATGATATTCAAAGGTCGAACTAAATAGTATCTGTGTGATTTATTTGAACGAAACCATGTGATCGTAATGATCAGTAAACGCGAATCTAAAATATAGACAGAGTAACATGAAAAAAAGGAGGTTAAGATCTCTATACATTTTCTGATGGTCTCGATCTCATCGCAGCTGCGCCTGGCGTCATTGATGGCCTTCTCGTCCTTCTTGGCGGCGGCGTTGGGGGCTTTCTTGCGGACCACCACCGGTTCCTAGTTCTGAGAGATCGGCTCCACTCCAGCCATGATTACTTCTTATCGAAGGCGATACGATCACCGACGACGGATTTTTAACGAAGATGAAGAGCAAGAGCGAATGATATGATCTTTTAAAGGAACGAAGAGTTAGGGCTTTACAGCTTCTGATTTGTGAGTAACGGAAAAAAGGGACCTTTCTTAGTTAATGAAATGAAAGATGAGGATAACTTTCTTATATTTACAATAGTTGAAAAGTAATTTGGGTTATAGTTGAAGGGTAATTTGGGGTACGAAAAGTTTTTCTAGTACTCCCTCTTTTAAAAGGTAGATGATAATGGCAAAAAACAACCATATTTGGTCTTTTGACCAAAATACCAAAAAAAGGGTTAATCAACATTTAAGGGTATTTTGATCATTTATCTAGGGGGCTGCCTCTATAAATAGAGGAGGTTTTTATTTATTTTTCTCATCCAAAACTCATCTACTTCTCTCTAATACTCTCTTATACTCTCTAATACTCGCTTTTCCTCTGTAATTCTTCAATCAAATGGCTTTCTCCTTTGATTATGAAGGGCAAAACCCAACTTCCGTTCTTGAAATGTGTCCTAATACTCTTACTACAGGAGCTACAGCTACTCCTCCTACTCCTACTGATGTTGATCACGACTCCGGTGGCGACAATTCTGCACCAAGAGCTCCTAAAAGGCCGAGATTAGATGTGTGAATTTTTTTCGAGAAGATAGACGTCACCAGAGATGAACACGGTAGGTTTCTCACCCAGAAGGCTAAGTGTGCGTTGTGCGGTCATATTTTTTAAGCTCATCATAAGAGCAACACCAACCACCTCAAACGCTATTTAGATAAACACAACAAAGTCAGACGCCTCAAGGTGATATCCGACAATCTTTACTCTCCCAATCCTCTTCTTCTGGTAGTCTCGGTAGTTGGAATTATGACACAGTCTGAGCCAGGAAATGCGTCATCATGTTTATTATTCTTAAAAACCTTTCTTTTAAATTAGTGGAAGATGATGAATTTGAATATATGTTTACAGATGATTTTTATCCCGTATTTAAAAAAATTTCTCGTCAAACTTATCAACGTGATATTTTAAAATATTATCAGGAGAAACAAGCAAAAATAATTTCTTATTTTTAAAGTTTAAACTTTAAATTTTATTTAACTTCTGATATTTTGACATCTAGAGCACAAACTTATTATTTATATATCACATCACACTAGATTGATGATAATTGGTAAATGTTTAAAAGAGTTATTTCTTTTATTGTATTTGAAGAGTCACATACTGGTATTAATATTACAAATTTAACAATTGAAGAACTTATAAAATTAAAAATTTTAGAAAGAATATTCTTTCTTTCACTTGATAATGCAAGTAATAATAATATAGCTATTGATTATATCAAAACATCTCTATTATTTTCATGTCATGGTGATATTTTTCATATTAGATATGTGTGTCACATTTTAAATTTAATTGTTCAAAGTGCATTTGGTGAAGTTAAATTCATGATAGAAAAAGTTAGGACAATAGCTTATGCTCATAATGCTTCTGAACAAAGAATTAAAAGATGGAAACAATTATGTAAAAGGAAAAATTTAAAATCCAGACTAATTCTAAAAGATGTTGACCATAGGTGGAATTCTACCTATGCAATGTTAAGTGTAGCAATAGAATATAATAAAATTATAAATGATTTTATTGCTTTCTATATTTCTAGTTCTAGCTCTGGTGGAATAGCTGAGGATGAATGGACGGTTATATGTAATTTAAAAGAAATGTTATAAATTTTTTCTGATGCTACTATGTTATTATCTGGCTGTTATTATCCAACCATTACTTTAGCCGCTTTACAAGTTTTAAATATTTAATTTTTTTAATAAATATAATATGGATAGTTATTTTGGAAATATAATTTTTCAGATGGAAAGTAAATTTAAAAAGTATTTTATGCCTATTCCTATTATTTTTGGTTTGAGGTTCTTATTGATCCATGTTTGAAGGATATTGCCCTTCGAAGTTTGTTAAATTCTTTGTACGGTAATATGATAATAGACACTGATGATGGTCAAACTATTACTATTCTTACTCATCATAATACTATTAGAAAATATTTTTAAAGATTATATGATGAGTATGCAGCTAGATATGATGTAACTACACATTAGTCTACAGCTTCTGCTTCTACGAACTCAAGTCGGGGTAAAAGTGTGAGTTTTGATAGAGAATCAATAGCAGCTGAGCTAATTGGTAGATCCGAACTTGGATCATCAGCAGAGGTTTATGAAATTGATCAATATTTAACTGCATCTTTAGTTAAATGTCAAAAAAATAGTTTAGATATTTTGCAATGGTGGAAAGTATATGGAACAATTTCATATCCTATACTTTCCATCATGGCTCATGACTTACCAACAGTGTAGGTTTCCATGGTAGCTTTGGAATCCGCCTTCAACACAGCAGAACGTTTGATCGACGATTACATGATATCGTTAGATCCATATATCGTACAGGCGGTTATGTGCCTACAAGATGAGTAGGTGTCAACCTAGTTAGGATGTATTCATCTATTGTGATGCGACGAATTCCAAAATAAATTTATAATTATAGATGATTAACTGATTATTAATAAAGAAGTTATTTTTATCATTTTAATTTTTATAATTTTTTGTATTTGTAAATTATGTAATTACAAGTGATTAATAATATGATTGTTTTTATTAAAAATTTGTTTAATTTTGACTATGTATTCTTAAAATTTTAAAGAAAAAAAAACGGGCCGGCCTTGTGCTCGGCCCGCTCAGACGCCGGGCCCGAGCCAACCGGGTCCGGCTTCGTTTTGCCTGGCCTGGGCCTGGTTTTTTGGACCGGTCGGCCGCTTGGACAGGGCTAATTATATATATATATATATATATATATTATATTAATATATATATATATATATATAGCTATATATATATTAATAATATATAGTATATATATATAAGTATATAACCAGGGAAGTACGGATGCTAACGTGCTTTCGTGGAGATTAATCAACGATATTATCATGTTAGCACAATAACTTCATAATTATTTAGGAAGAGCTAATCTTCCAAAATAAAAACCAACGCCCTTTCCTACAAAAGGTAAATTCTAAACAAAGTTCTTATTGTTCTCCCTAATTCCATCGGGTCCTTGATTGTAGAAAAAGCTTGGACTAATAATAGCAGTTTACATTTGTGTACCCTGCAATCAAATATTTTTTTATATAATTTTTATTTTAATAATTAATATCATTTATGGGATTCAATGAGAAGACTTGAATGGTGAATTATAGATTTTTTTCCTACAACTAAGAATATAGAGGATCTCTATCCAATTCAATTCTAGCTTAAAAGTAGCAATCACCTACATCCTTTATTGTAGAGATTCCCAAAAACTCATCAAAACTCTTCACTAGGTAGACCCCATGAATGAGATTAATTGTGTAAATAATATTAAAGTACTTTTAATTGTGAGTCCCACTGAGATAAGCCAATAATATTAGTCCATCTAACTAATTGTAGACATTCTCCACAATCAAAATTGTAGAAAATCCGAAACTTGGCCCCCCAGTGACCATAAAATCAATACTTCATTTTATTCACATTTTTTTGCCCCTTGGTAAGGGGATCTTTGATTAGGGAGAGTTATAACCAGAGTGACAGTCCGAGTTCAAATCTCAAAGGACCGCCCTCTCAGACATTGCACTTCTTTAGGACCTCCACCTAACCAAGAAAATTCTAGGAATTGAGACTCACAAATAGTCCCACGCAACACAGATACGCACAAGCCCGAAAATCGAATCCAGGCACTTTTAGGTACCGTTTGGCAAAAGGTTAAGTGAGGGGTTAAGAAGACTTAACCTATTCTTAACCCGCCAAACACAAAAAATCTATATAATAGTTAAAGTGAGTTAACCCTCCATAATTTGCCAAACATAAAAAATATAGAATGGTTAACCCGTCTAGAAGGATTAAAATAAGTTAACCCCTCAAAATGAGGGGTTTACTAAGGGCTTGTTTGGATTGAGGGGAATGAGGGTGAAGGGAAGTTAGGGGAACCATTCACCTCCATTCACCTTATTTGGGAACACTTAGGAGGTGAAGTTAATTCACCCTAGTTCCCCTTGGTTCACCCCCTAATAGTATAAAATTTGTTACCCCCCAAATTGGGGTGTAACCAAGGGGAAGGGAACTCCCTTCCCTTCCCTTCCCTTCCATTCTCTCAGTTTCCCTTAACTTCCCTTCACCCCCTACAAATCCAAACAGGCCCTAATACTCCTATTTAGAAGGATTAAGAGTTAACACTTCTAATTATAAAGAAAATAGTCAAAATCATTGTTATTCCCAAACACTAAAACTGATCACAATGACTAAAATAAAACTTATTTAACGGGTTAATAATTTAGTCCTTCATATTATCGAAAGAGCTAAGTACATTAATCCTTCTTTTTAACCCCTCTTCCTTAACCCTTTTGCCAAACGAGGCCTTAATGTTCGCATTGATACACTCGACCCACCTTAGCCACCAACTCGCGGTATAATAACAAACTGAAAAATTAAAAGAAAAGTAAGAAAACTTTTTGAATAGCATAGACTTGATGGGTTACGTACCAGCATAGGATCCTCAGTCTATTAAACATACCCCTTTATCCGTTTTCATTTAGAATGCAGAATGTGAAAAAGTAATCCTTTTTGAGTTTCTTTAGCGAACGTATGAATATTACTCAAGGGGGAGAGTCCATCCACTGGATGATGATGAAGCAACTTCATTAGTATGGCAGGAATTGTTCTTTGATTAAGGATACACCGCACGCAGAAACATTTGTCGGTTCCCTGCTGTTCTTTACCTTCTATAAGTAATATATGTTGTCAATGTTGCTAGCCACGACAAGCGTGTACTTTCTTTAGGATTGCTATGCAGTTGAACCCAATTATCAAAGACGGAGTTCGTTAGTGAAGACGAAGCTCGTCAGACGAAGTCAGTGAAGGCAAAGTTTGTCAGGAGAAACTCGCTATACTGCAAAGCTTGCCTTATAAGACGAATCTCGTTGTATATTGAGGCTCGTCCAATCTGACGAACCTTGCC